ATCATTTAATGAATCATAAACATTACACGATTTAACCACTACACTGTAGTGGTAGAACAAATGAAGACGACAGTGGTGCCATACCCCCCCCAAAAGTCTAAATGTGTGCGCAAGTACAATCCTGACTTTCTTAACACTGTCAGTGTGTGGAATGTGGGCTAATGCTATCAAACGAAGCACTGAAGCCTTCAAAAATAAAGCGACACCTAGCGACGAAACATCCAACGCTCGTGGGAAAGCCTGTTGGGCTTCTTGTTGTGTATGCAGGTTTACATACACATGATAAATAAATGTCTTTGTGATCATCACATTGTATCATCTCATTTATTTGACAAGGGTTTTGCCTGTTCAACTCCGCGAGGACGCCGGGGTCCTCGATCCCCTCCCCTTCCGTTCCTTTCCTACGGCTTGCTTGCGCAAACTACGTCACAAAACATGGCCGTGTTTGGTATCCCAGCATGCCCAAAACCCTCATCTTTGCAAAGAAATCATCGATTTTCTTTCATTTCTTATGGATTTGTCACAAAAGGAGCCCAAACACACACTGTCTAAAGTCGCCATAACCGCTGCAAGTCGGATCTTGCAGCATTTCGACGGAAAAGGACACATTACAGACCCAACAATGTGCTAGCGGATGGTACCATGGAGGTAGTAGCTTCAGAAAACGCTAGTACTTAAAGTACAAACCTTATCTTCCTCTTCTATAAGCCGTCAACTAATGTATAACCTTGCGTAACTGAGATACCCACATACTCGATCGTGCTCTCAGTCGCAGCCATTACGCACAGTAAGTCCGTTACTTGCATACCACGTCTTCGACTATACATATATAGTTCTTGCAATTTGCAAAGGACAAAAGGAAAATAATATTATGTCAAAATATAAAGGGAAACACCTTTAGTGTGTCAGAATATCATTTGGTTACCATGTGTCCATTTGGGTCTCCAAATATCCTTTTAGAGCTCCGCCTGGATCTCTTCATAGAAGAAACACTGTAGAATCGTCATACTTTGTCCAATCTTCTTCAAATTTGAGGCAGCTGTTCACTGGTAGTGTAGTTACAGCCCTATACCTGTAGAGATACAGCCACAGGCAGTTATTTATACTGAAAGATACTTTTTTATTTTATGCGGACAAAAATCTTCAATTTTTACTGACTCCAAAGGCCCACTGCTCTGTTTCTGTATGACCTACAGATTTTCTGACACTTTTGATGCATATAGTCACAGTAGTTCAGAAGCTACAGCCATTTTAATTTGGGTATGTCATTTTAGGCGGTTTTGCTCCAAAATAGGGGTGGAGTTGAACAGGTAACAATATAGTTATTGAATACAAATCAAACCAAGAGTGAGATCAATTAGTTAAACTAATAGTGTTAATATTTGAATGGGCCCCGGGACACTTTGTACTTGAAAAGTTGGGCCCGGAGGTCAAAAAGGTTAAGAACCCCTGGTCTTGAGGAAAGATTTTGGTTCAGAATTTTTGAAGGTTGATTGAGAGCGGGACGAAACAGATGGTAAACATGATGGCAGTGTAACGAAAATCAATGTCAGCCAATCGAGCCGACATCGTAGAAGCTGCCTGTGCTATGTTGGAAGCACTTGTGCTGTGAATCTGAGAGCGTGTACAGTGGTGGAAGATGTACTCACACCCTTTACTTCAGTAAAAGTACCAATACATTCATGTAGAAATACTCCATAACAAGTACACGTTATGCATTTTGAATCGTGCTTAAGTGAAAGTACAAAAGTATTATCAGCTTAATTTACTGAAAGTTCTAGAAGTAAAAGTACTGGTTTTGCAGAATATCAGCCCCTGTGACTGATATAATATATTACATATTTATTACTTATTACCTCAGAAAAATCTGAGCTGTCATCAGATGATTTAACGGGAGAGGAAAGGGGCCATAAACCAAAAAACAAAAACTTGGGAACCATTAAATATTTAACAATGTACTGTATATTGTATATTTTCTTTCAGTACAATTTTTATCTGTAAAGTAACTCAATAAATAAATGTAGTGAAGTAAAAAGTACAATATTTAATATTAAAAAATAAAGTAGCATAAAATGGAGATACTCAAGGTATAAATACCTTCAAATTGTACAGTTCTTAAGTAAATGTAGCTAATCTGTTATATTCCACCACTGAGTGTATGTACATGTGCTTGTGTCTGCCTGTATGGGAGAAAACGTAAATAGTAAATGAGCAGTCTGCTGACTGTAAAACAAAACGCACATATTAATTATAACATTACAAGCCTCGTCCTGCGATGCTTCTGCAGTGACAAACACAGTGACAAACAATGTGCCATGTGTGCCTGCTGTGTTCAAGGTTCTTTATCACCTCACTGCGAGCAGCGTGTCGTCCATCCGTCATTCGCTCATCTCTCTCTCTCCCTCTCTCTCTCTCTCTCTCTCTCTCTAGATAGTAGCTGCTATCTTGGCCATAGCAGGAATTGTAATGATGACCTATGCTGATGGATTTCACAGCCATTCAGTCATCGGCATTACTTTGGTCGTGGCCTCTGCTTCGATGTCAGCGCTCTACAAGGTATTTGTTTGCATCCGATCAATTGTAAAGAACATTACTAAGCCTGTGTCCTTCCATAAACCTCCCCTTGTAGTGACACCTTCATCTGCAGTGGAACAACAAGTATATATATATAAAAAAAAAAAAAAATAGCTTAACATATGTATGCATAGTCTGGTTTTATGTAAGAAATCCTGGACTAGCTCCCTTCTCCTTATGTAACCAGGTGGCAGAAGACAGGAAGAGATTATGAAATGTAACACTGAGCTGACAGAAGCGTGTGATACGTGAGCGTTCGGTGGCTGGCCCCCGGGCTGCGATGTCCCGATCAAGGAGGTTACGGGACAGATAGCTATATTTTGACAGGGCTCAGGTCTCCTCTGCCCTGCTGTCTGTGCTGCCTAATGTGATAAACAGACAGCGGCGGCCCTGTGCCAGAGACGTGCCAAGTACTTTGCAGATGCACCCCCCCCCCCCCGCAATATCCCTCTGCTCCTTAAGGGGGCAGATTTTGTGCATTCATGACACTCTCCTCCCTACTTGTCCTCAGGTGCTCTTCAAGATGGTCCTGGGCAGTGCCAAATTTGGAGAGGCTGCGCTCTTTCTGAGCATTGTTGGAAGCGCCAACTTTGTTTTCATCAGCTTCGTGCCGGTCATCCTGTATTTTACACACGTGGAGTACATCGGCTCACTCGCAGACGTCCCCTGGGCCTACCTCTGTGGGGTTGCAGGCCTGCAGTTTGGTACGGAAAGATGACATATGAAGCGATGTGCAGAAATCTGATACTGCAACGATTATGCAACTAATGAATATAACTTTTTCAGGTTTTGTGGTTTCACACCCTCATTGTGTAGCCAACTGCTGCTCTGATTGTGCTTCTTCCCACAGCTTTCAACGTCCTGGTGAACTTTGGCATAGCGATTACGTACCCGACATTAATCTCCCTTGGCATCGTCCTAAGTGTTCCTGTAAATGCCAGTAAGTCTCTGGCTTTCCTCCCAGACTTAACTTTTTAAATCCGGCCAACATTAAATATCTGATGGCTTTGAAATCCCCCCAAAAGTATTCATCTATATTTGATGAATAGAATGTAGATTTTAAATTCTCATTGCATACTTTTCTGTGACAAACTTCTTATTTCTTCCACTTTCTAAATTCATTATTTGTAATAATCCCATTCAATTCTTTTTTGTTAATTAGAATATTTACAAATTCCTCCATATGCTGACACTAATGCATCCTCTTCATTTTACAGTGGTGGACCTCTACACATGCGAAATTAACTTCAACACAGTGCGCCTCATCGCTGTGTTCATCATTTGCCTGGGTTTCCTCATGCTGCTGTTACCTGAGGACTGGGACCAGTGCATCATCCAGCTCAGCACAAAGCTGCGCAAGCGTGACGAGCCAGCAGAGGGCAGCGCAGAGGCGGGCGCCACCACAGGGCTCAACTGGAGAGGGAGAGCCAGGACCCCCTTGTCAACATTTGCACATTGACTCCATGACATTTGACCATGCAAACACACACCTAACACACAGACAGACAAAGGGAGGGAGACACATTAACGTTCATTTTAAATTCAAATGGTTACATTTGACCTGTCCGGTGAGCTGCGCTCTCTTTCACGTATAGCTCCCTGAATGGAAGAAGTATCTCAGACTGACCTCTGATCAGTAACATTTCGGTCAAAGGGGGAGATGCGGGAGGCACTGACTGTGTATCATTCATTTGGTGCCCATTCCACACAGAAGTTATCAGAGCTGGTGCATGGACACGGACAATATTGTTACCCTTCTTACCCAAAAGATTATCAGGTGTAACTGATTGAGTCATGTATTCATTTAGCTGTACCTCTTAATCATTCCATGGATTCACTGCATCCCTGCGCCTGGGAAGACTTGCCAACTTGCCTGATATCTTTCAATTCTGAGAAGAAGAAGAAGAAAAAAAGAAAGACTTTCTGGAGGCAGGCCTAAATCCATGTGGACTTGCTTGTCCTTAACATGTACACAATTTCAGTACACACCTTTAAGATCCAAAGAAGAATGCCGAAAATGCTAAATGCCTGAAAACAAAAGGGAGGCCCACAGTGACGTCCCTCGGGTGTAAACGTAATGACAAACACCTGCCTTTCGTGCGCTGTACATAGCTGTGTATCACACCGTGGCTGTCCTGGAGCTGTGGACCCAGTGGGCTCATTTGGTGTGAAGGGACTTGTCTGAACACCTGAGGATCAATCGGAGATGAAGAAAGCTTTCGCAACCCCTCTCTCTGTCTGTCCATCCTGAGAGGTCGGGTCCTTTTTGGCCACACTGATTGGCCCCCCCGCGGTTATGTGCTTTCCTCGGGCTAAACTCCCTCTCTGTCGATGCCGACACCCGTTGCTCAGGCTCACAGTTAAGTCACGAGAGATCTAAAACCAGTATCTCCATTGCAGACGTTTTTCAATGCATGAGATGGTTGAGATTTGTTTGTCAAAAAGTGTGTGCGCTTCCAGTCCGTCAATAAAGCACTTGCCTCACTTTCTTTCTGTTGCTGAGACACCGGCAGCAAACAGTTTAATAACTAAGCAATATAGGTAATACATGTATTAAAAGGACATGTATTGTCATTAAAATATAATATAAAATGTGTTTTTAACTGTCCGTACGCTGTCGAAACTATTAACTGGCCCATATTCACAAATAATGTGTCAGGTATACAAAACTTTGGATGGACTAAAAAGCACTAACAGCGTATTATAAGACCAAAATGGAAACTTGGAACTACCCCTTTAATAACTTTGAACATCAACCACAGCTATCACTGAGCCTCCCTTTGAATTCCCCTCACGTTTAACTTTCTAGACATATATGCACACAAACGAATCTGCAGAAATTATCACCTTTTTTTTTTTCCTGTTGAAAATAACAGATGTCTCACTGTGGCTTGAGAAGAGGTGTGCCAACACATGAGAACAACTCCCATTTGTCCGCCTCTGCTTTTTTTTTTGTCAAAAACTGTCTTACTGTATCGGTTCACTATCTGTTTCCATCAATCACATTTCTGAAGCGAGATAACAACCAAGATGAACCTGAGACGGACTGAGGCACACGCCTTGCAAAGCTACTAGTGGTAACTCTGCCTTGTTGTGAATGTATGACCATCACTCCACCACACACGCTCCCATACGTGCCATCGGTTTTCTACAGTGCCGCCACAGACTGCTGCAGAGACACTCTTTAATACTATCCTTCTTGTACTCATCTGACTGAGTTTTTTTGGAACAAACTCTTGACTCATCTTACAGGACCTTTTTTATATATTTTTTTTTTTGCATTTGGTCATCTGCAGGACGAGCATGCCCATACTGTATGAGCAGATACAGCTGAAGTCCACTTCACTGCCTTTTCTTTCTTTCGCAATAGAAAACATTAGCACTGTTTCCCCATTGTCATGATCTATGACAATAAATTATAATATTGTATTCCTCTGGAATTGTTGCTAGACATAAATGTAAACCTTTGTAAGGAATGATGATTTTTACACGAAGATGCAACATATGATTATCACATTTGAGGAGGAAATATTTAGAGCGTGAATAAATGATGGGTTTATTAGATCAACTGTTGGGTGTCTTCAAGTGTAATCACATGTACTATATAAAAAGATTTCTTTTCAATACACTTCCCTGTCCAGGTTTGTTCTCTCCTCTGTGCCTCTGCTGTGCGCTACAGTGCGATCACTAGAAATGGCCGCAGGCAACATGACAAGTTGAAAAAAAAATGCAGTGATCTCCGCTAGAGATGAAACGATAATTTGATGAATAGATCAATATTGAATTAATCTGCAGATCATTTTGATAATCTTTTAATATATTGAATATTTTCTTGAATATTTCGGGGTTGTAGAACATCAGGTTGACAACAGAAGACATTTGAACATGTCTTATATGTTACAGCTGAAATTATTGAAAAATCAATTGACAGAAATATAATAGGCAACTATTTTACTAATTGATTAATCATTTAAGTCTTTTTTAAAGCGAAAATGCCCTCAAAAATCAGATTCTAGCCTCTTAAATGTGAATATTTGCTGGTCTTCTATGACATTTTCTGAACCAAATGATTAATCAATTAACTGAGAAAATAACAACAGATTGATCAATAATAAAAAACGATAATGGTTAGTCCTATAACATTGTTTCCGCAACAGCATCTGCAGGTATTAGACTAGGAAACATCATGCTCCACTCTGACTGTTATCTGTCCATAGAAGAAAGTGGCCTGACGCTCCCTGGTCAGAGCAGAGAAAGGTAATCTGCTGCCATCTTGTGGCTGAGAGGGGACCTGCAGGCAGTCCGCCCTCCCTTCACCTCCAGCATCTTGCCACACTGAGAAGGACGGGGAGGTAGAGTGATGCTTGAAGTCAGTGCTGATGGTAAAAATGGAGGAGGAATACTTGGAGTCATCACAGGTTGAACTCTCAGAGCTGGAAGGCGGACCAGGATGGGTGGTGGTCAGAGTGCTCCTGCCTTCATCTCCCCCTGCTCTGACCTCCCCCTCCCTGGCCACCACACTCCCCAGACGTGCTCTTATTTTTTGCCTCAGACACTGAAGAGCGCCCTGGAAACGTTTGCTGAGCAGAGCGTACAGCAGCGGGTTGATGTCAGAGTTCAGCAACACCAGCCAGTACGAAAAGGTAACGGCAGAGTGTGGGACGAGGCTGGATTGGCCCGAGATTGCAGTTTCTGTGGCCTGAAACAGGGCCACGCCTATATAAGGTGTCCAGCAGAGGAAGAAGGCTGCGATGACCAGAAAGAGACGCACCAGTCCACGCTGGCTCTGGTGCTGATGGGAGTTCGGCAGCGGTGGCTGGGAGGTGCTCTGAGCCAGGAAGGAGAACAAACGTCTGGATGAAGGGTTACTCTGCTCTGTCGTAGATTCGGGGAGAGAGGGGCTGGTATAATCCCCCTCCTCTCTACTGACCTCAGACACAAACTGTCCACTCACATGATAAATCAGTGTCGAGGGGCTGCTGTGGCTCCCACAGTGCTGGTGAGAGGACTCAGCAGGAGCGAAGGCAGAGCTTGGATTCCTGCTGCACTGGACAGAGTCCTCCAATGTGTGAATCCTCCTGGCATGGCTGCGGGCCACCTTGACAATGTTCACGTAGCAGAAGAGGATGACCACTGCCGGGATGAGGTACGACAGGGCAGCCATGAAAGCTGTGTAGCTGGGACTGCTGGCCCAGTTGACCGCACAGCTGAACATGGGAACCACATAGCTGACGGAGCTCCAGCCCAGCAGGGGAGGACAACTGGTCACCAGAGCCTGCAGCCAGATCCACAGGACAACAGCACAAGTTCTCCACAGGGTGCAACGGGAGTTGTAGAGCAGGCAGTCCATGATGGAGTGGTAGCGGTCGAGGGCGATGGCTGCCAATGTCAGTACAGAGGCTGTACAGTACACAGAGGAGGTGTAACCCACGTACGAACAGAGGTCCTATCAGACAGGAGAGAGAGACAGAATCTCATCACATGCACACACTGACTGGACCAAAGGAAAACAGGTGTTATGAGGTCAGCTTCACGTCACTAATGCTGCAATGTACATGACTGTAAAGCGTTTTGTATTACTGGACAGAGGTGACGTACAGTACAATCCACCCATCCACGGTTCATGACGGACAAAGCAACAAAAGGCATCACTCCGACGCCCACCAGGAGGTCACTGATGGCCAGGTTCATGATCAGCACTGACGTCACCGAGTGGAAAGTCTTGGTTGCAGCCACAATAACAATAACAAGGATATTACCTACACAGAAATACAACACAGTTTACACACAGTAGTAAACCTGTGATTTGATATCTGAATTCAGAAAAGTGTGGACAGTCTGGATTTGATCTAAACAGCTCTGAATAGCAAGGAAACAAACATAACAAATGACTACTTTGATATGTTGATATTGTACAATACAGCACTGCAGAATGCTGAGCCCTATGATTGTTAGTTAATTGTGCAGTCGTGCAAGTATTTAAGGAATATAACTAGAGGTTTTTCCATGCAGATAATTATAAATTAATTTGTCCAGGTATTGAAATATGATATTTGTGCCACCACCAACACAATTCCACTCACATCTATGGTGTGTTGGTGGAAATCTAAGCTTTGAAATTTACATTTTAAAAACTCAATGGTGAGCAGTCAGTTTGGCAGTTTAAAATGTCAATAAAGTCAATAATAAAAGGCCGTGAACTTCTGACTTTCTAATTACTCATCAAGCCTGCAGGCATAAATGAAAGTCCTTTAAAAGGGAAACTTTCAAATCAACCACGTAGTTTCAAATGTCAAATCAGCCTTTGATAAAAAAATCATTTTACAACATTTCAACAATCAATTTTGATCCAGAAGCTCTTTTTAATGAACTAAACAAAGATACTTTAAATGTCGTGCTGGGGGAGAATGAACACCAACCGAAGGAATCGTATGAATGGATTATGAATATTTATAGCATAACTGAATGGTGTATTAACCACTAATAAAGCCATTTGTTACAAAGAATTTAATAAGGGTGCCACAGAACTTTTGACTAGATTTCTTAAACTGCCAAAATACAAATATTTCAAGTCAAATAACTTTTCAATTTCATCCGACGCAAGATATTAAGAACTTTCCATTTGTGCAACAATAAAAATTTGGTCACTAAGTTATTCGTGTGTGACATCATAGAGGTGATGTAACAAAGAAATATAATGCAGAATGTATGTTTTTCTGTAAGGGTAGGCCTACTGTAAGGTTATTATCAGAAACTTTAAGCGGGACATTGTGTGGTTAAAATAAATAAAACAGTTCAAGTCTTTACCTGCCACAGCGCACAAACACATCAGCACCATGAGGATCTCCAGGACCAGCTGGGTCTGCCTGGACACACCGAGCCCCGCGCCCTCCGTCCAGCTCGCGTTGACCGCTACCGCTGCTGCCTGCAGGGACACCGACCAGGAGCCCTCCAGGTCATCCATGTCCCACCCAAAAACAACTGCAATCCTCACATGATGAGCCACGTACGAGCGTGACTTGACGGAAAAACAAATGAGTGTGATCGGATGTACTCCATCTGCTCCCCGCCTCTGGTCGGACGGTCTCCAGGTGAACCGACTCCTTCACTGCTGGAAGGGGAGGAGGATGCACGAGCACCTACTGAACCGTATTTAACTCCCTCTGTGCCTCCTTGGTTGATGCAATCTCCAACCACAATAAATGAAAAATCACATGGAAATGAAATGGATAACAATGTCAAAGTATTATTTATTCAACTTTATCAAAAAAAAAGAGCTATTTAAAATCACAACCTGCAATGAAAACACAAAAGTAGCAGTTCTGCATTATGTATGATAGTTTCCTGGGTATGGACATTATAGTCCGGTCCTGGTGCCATGAGGAATACGCTAATTGCTCATATAAACAAGGTACTTCCCCTTCAAAGGGGGAACATTTCCTTTAATGCCTCTGCTCTGCCAACACAGAGAGATTGCCTCCATTAATATAACAGCCTGCCCGGTGGAATATTTACATGTAATAACCAGAGCCGGTCTCTATTCATGACTCTCATTAAGGCACAAGAGAAGCACTAAAAAACAATAAAAGCAGACAGAACATGACAATTGTTTAAGCCGTGGCATTAACTGTATGGCGTGTGGTCATGTCTGCCCCCCCCCCCCCCCCCC